CCCCAAAACCCCAAAACCCCAAAACCCCAAAACCCCAAAACCCCATACCTTTAATATTTAATTGAGATTAACTTAAGCTAATTGGAATTACTATTGCTTGGCACCGGCAGAGAAAATATAGAGGAGGATCTCCATTTCATTCATTAAATCTTTGTTTTGGAGTATTGATGCGTTTTGATAAGCTCTATTGCTCTGAGTATTAGTACTATAAGATCCATTTGTAATTAAGGGCTTCTTGATCACATCTTTTGTTTTCTTATCAGTTACTTCTCTGTCAATTTTATAGCTAAAATCCTTCTTTAGTAAAATCAATGGCTTGATGAAGATCTGGCAAGGATATTTTGGAGTTCCAAAATTTAAGTTCTGACCATATTTCTGAATATCTGAGGTAACACTTGATTCTATCTTGTTTGCTTGGATAATAATCTTGCAATTATTGAACAATATTATATTACATCCATTTTTAATCTTGAGTTTCATGTCTTTTGCGAATTCTTGATCTTTGTTTTCAGTAGTATTAACACTCTTTTGTCAGGCGATGATTTTAGAATCAGGATTTAAATTAGACAATGACTCTTCTCTATTATTTTTAGAAAATTTTCCAATGTTAAATAGGGACTTGGAAAATATTCACTAAGATTTATCATTATGATTTGAAAATAATTTAAAAAAATCAAACCAGAATTCTTAAGAATTCATCTAGAAATAGCAAATTCAGTTGACAATCAAAAATTTGCTGGTAAAGAATCCAGAAGCTGCTGGATTAATGAAGAATTTAACAAACTTAAGCTTTGTGGCTCGGGTCTAATTTTTCGAAGCTGAAGAGTACGAATCAAGTAAACACTCTGTAAACAGAACTTCCTTGATATAATTTCTAAGATTTTTGCCTGAAGAAGACTTCCAAGATTAAGCAACAATTTTTTTATTAGCCAAAACTTTATTAACTACCCAGAGATGCATGGTTATTGAGGCAGCAGGATAAGTTGGTTGATCACCTGTTCGAAATTTTTAAAACATCTGATTCAAATTAAGATTTCACTACAATTAAGTGAGCCAAGCAGAAAGACTAGTCAAATTTACACAAAATTAATTCTCATTAGCTTACTTGGGAGTATTGTTACAGTCAACTATTCATGGTCACTCAACTTGAGCTCCAAATCCCTTCATAGGTTATTCTGAGCATTACTAATAATTCCCTGTAAAGAAGCTAGTAGCCCTACTTTATCACAATGATCCTTGTGATTCATAATCATTAGATGTAAGCTAGAGTTTTCCTAATTCAATCTCTCAAGAGAGATTAAATACAGCCTTTAAGCCAAGAAGTGAGCCCTTTAAATGAACAAATGTTATACATTTCAAACTGAAAGACCAACTTGAGCTCCCTCATATAGACTATATCACAGTAAGAGGTTCATCTTTTATATAAGGACTAAATCAAACAATAAAGCACATATACAGAGACTCTACTAGATAAGAAAGACAAATTTCATCCTAGTTTGTCTGTATAAAAAATAAGTTCTTGAGGAACTAAATTCCCCTTATAAAGTTACTTTCTGATAAATATACAAGCCACACAGAAATGATTAAAATGAAGTACTTGACCACAGAGAGGCAATTTTGCAAACTCCATATCAAAAGAATAAAGATGAAATATATCTTCTTCATGATGATTAACTTACCTTAAAATTATTATACTTCTAGACTCTCTCACAATTCTGGGGTTTTGGGGTTTTGGGGTTTTGGGGTTTTGGGGTTTTGGGGTTTTG